GCAAGTGCCAACTTGCAACCCAAAATTTTTTTTGGGATAGGTTATTGTAAACTCTGTCTTCCCTCAAGGAAGGTGTGTGTGTGCAATGGAAATGATGACAGACCCTTAACTGCAGCAGCACAAAAGACGCCACTAAAAAACAGTGAAACAGATGCTGTCACCACTGCCCCTGGTGGGGAAAGAAGATGAAACAGAAGGGCATTAGAGTTGGTAGATGGCAAATTAATCCTATTGTACTAGCAGCTGCAACTATTGAGATGTTAGCATTCATGCTTAGACATTTCCAGCGCACCAAGTGCTGGTAGGGATGGTTGGGAGGGATGAGAAAATGAAAGGTCACAAAAGCTGTTTTCAACTGAATAGCAGTAATAAAAAGTAAGTCTGTGTCCTTCATTGCTCTGACCAAGGTGGTGGTGTTCTAATATGTATAACCTGCATAAAATATAAGTGTCTATGGGAGCATTTTTGCTCTTATAAAACCCTGGTTAAAAATGTGCATTTTGTGTTTTTTTTTCCCAAACTCTCAAAATCTAAATTGTGAATTTGGGCTGCATAAAATGAAAGATTCAATCTCTCTAATTGCTAATCTTAGATGTACATAGGGAAGTCATTATAATCATTAGTGAGAGAGTCACCTAGGTGATCTGTTGGGGGTGTCTGGAAAACTGAAGCCTTGATAGGTCTGTGGCTCTTAACGGTTGGACTAGAGATGCATATTCTTTCAAATGAAGACTAGGTGGACCCTGTAAATCTGAGTTATGGGGGCTCAGTTCCTGCCTACAGGGTTGATTTTTTTTTTGAGAACTTGTTGAAGAGAATTGTGCAAACAATGGCTTGTGTATGCCAAAGCTGGCATCCAGCAATTCTTAATGTTTGAATGAAAGTAGTTTTTTTCCCCTCCATAGTAAATGTTGCCAAGAAAACAAGGAGTAGTCGCTTTAAGCATTTACAAATGGTAATGCACCAACAGCTGGTCTCAATCCAACTGAGCTATTGTAGGGGTATTAAAAAGACAGGCCAGAGTTTGAGATCCACTGCCAACCTCCCTTGCAGAGTTAGGGAACGTTTTACTTGGAAAAAAACGGTCTTATATTCCTGCAGAGATCTACAGTGCTATTCTCCTGTGGAGTCAGAGCCTTGCCTGGCATAATAGGCAAAATATATTGATAGGCCAAATGTTTCAGTGACATAAAAGTGTAGAATCTAGAGGCTTGCAACTGATCTATCTGTAGCGGTCTATCTAATTTTATATTCATCAGTATTTTTCAATACTTGGGGGAGAGGGGGTTTGGAGTTCTCATATCTGTAATAGGATTAAACATTTCTTGTGCTTTCTCAGAAGAACTTCATAATGCAGATAAATATTTCAGAAAATGTTAATAAAATTGAAAGAATGTTTGTTTCCCTGAAGTCAAAGGACATTTCTTCAAGATTTACATCAAGAAGAGTTTTCTGCCTCTTGTAGCAAGCACTCAAGTGCCTCTCCTTTCCAGGAGGAATTCAGTCATATGCATTCCTCCTCTGCCTCTATATCTTCAGGAAATTATGAAACTAAAAGGACATTTCTTCGCTAAATATAATTACAAATGAACCATGTGCATGGTAAATGTATTACAGAGAGTCACAGAAATGATTATTTTTTCATTAGGAAGACCTCAGTTATTAGCAATGTATTTTGTATATGCTGCTTTTTCTGAATGGGTATGCCATGTTTGGTTTTTCATGAAAAGATAAATGATCCTGTTGATGTGCCATGCTCAAGTTTGGATTTACGTGAAACAAAAAGGGCCACATTAATAAAAAAAGCCAGACTAAAGTGAAAAATGTACATTTTTTCCCTCCCCATTATGATGCTTGTATTTACAGAGTATTCACAAATAGTGGCATGATGCCCACTTGTTCAGGTTTTTTTCTTTTACAATCATATGGCTTGATTCTGTTTTCCAGATCTTGTCCGAGAGCTGCTATTTGAAATAAAAATGTTTGTATCCATTTCCTCATTAATTGTCTCATTGTAATACAACCTGCTGTAGCTAAATGACAAAACAGATGCAAAAATGAAGTTAAAAGTGATAAAACACTTGTCTTTCTCTATAAAAGCTGCTAACAATTTAGAGAAGCAGAGTGGTTTTTGAAGCTGGAATGTGGCAAACCAGAGAATATATAACGGGGCAGAAGGGTTTGCTGTTAGTTTCTCAACTGTTCTCTGATTTACAATTTTTCAGATCAAGCTTCATTGCTATCTGGCACCTGCTTTAAGTGGTTAACTTCCTCTAATAATCTGAAATCAAGATAGGGATCATTTTAATATGACAGGTCTTATACTGAACAGCTGGAACAGGATTCCTTATACTGAACTGCTGGAACAAACAAAAGTCAAACGTTTGGAAGAGTGACTTTCCACACACTTGGTGCTTAATTTGAAATGAGTCAAAATTCAAAAAGTAATAGCAAAATGTTTTTAAGTACACCAGAAAGCAGGAAGCTTGTTAAGGAACCAGCGGGCCCATTGGACGATCGAGATGCTAAAGGATATTAGGTCATTATGGAGAAACTAAATAAATTCTTTGCTTTGGTCTTCAGGGCGGAGGATGTTAGGGAGATTCCCAAATCTGAGCCATTCTTTTTAGGTGACATATCTGAGGAATGCGACATGCAAAATCTGCAATGTGAAATTTCATGTTTTCGTTGTCAAAATGGCCATTTTAGTTTAATTTTGTGGCAAAGTAAAAGCTTGAAGGGCAAAAAATGAAAAGTAAAAATTTTGGGACAGAAATATTTCCCTCAGCTCCACACGGGTCTTGGGATTACATCCTGGGCTTGTAGAAAAGCCTTAACCCTCTCCAGTTACTATTGTCCTGTACCTGGGACTCTGTCTGTCCTATGTCTGTAATATATCCAATATCTGTACATTCCTAAACATCAACGGACACTTTGAAAATGCTGCTATAAACCAAAAACTTCAGATACAGACAATAATGGTACAAACAAAGCAGAAAAAAAAAAATCCACAGAAACACCTAGAGAGTCTAACTTCGTACCTCTGCTGTGCATGCTACTGTCCAGACCTGTATTGATGCTTTCTGATACAACTGACTTAATTTCTGTTTAAAAAACATATTTCAGCTAGTGCCTCCTTTTTAAAATCAGTCCACCTTGAAGTGTGCTCTTTGAGCCTGTTTGGTCCTTGTGGAATAGATTGGTAAGAATTTATCTTCGTTTGCTGCTGAAGTCAGGTTAATGACAGAATATGTGTTTGTCTCCCATTTGAGTCAACACTGAACCAAAGATCCAACATCTCACATTAACTATGGCAGTAGTCTGTTAACTGTTCCCCACTTGAAAATGCAAAATCTGCAATGTGAAATTTGCAGATTTCTATTTTGAAGCCAATAATTCCAATAAGCAAATAACGCCCCGCTCCCCGCATCTTAGAGCCACCATTTGGAGTCAATGAATAGCACAATGCCAGAATCCTGGTTCTCTTGGGGCCAAAGGTTCACTCAGGAAGGACTTTCTCTGGCCTGGTGGGAAGTACTACTGGGTATTGTCCTCTTGATCACCTAACCCAGCCACTTAAGCCCACGAGAGTGTTTTCAGCTATATGGAATGAATGGGTGGGCAAGACTACACCAGCATTCACTCGACTCTTTTGCTGTCCTCTGCAAATAATTCTTTTCACCACACTTTGTCAATCTTCCCAATAGCTCAGGGCTCTCAGTTAAGGTAAGCCAGTCACATAGAGAAACTCTGAACAGAGGCCTTGACTCAAGATAGAAACACTTCTCCCCTCTTTCTGTTCAGGTCTACTATACCCAACCTATTCTGAGTGTGTGTATGGTTAGAGTGACTCCAGGAATTCTAGTTAGAAATCTTATGCAAGCGATGCTCTGCCTGTACCATGCTTTTCCTATATTCCCCAGTATTTGCTCTTTACCCTCTAGAGTTTCAGGCCACAGGGTTACACTTGTAATGTACAATTTTGGGAGCAGAGACCGTCTATTCATTGTGTGTTATGCGGTGCCTAATACACCTAATGACTGACTGTTGCCTTGGTGTTGTTACAATATAATGAAAATATCCTTTCATCCTTACAAGGGGGTCTTCCATTATTTTCAGTAAGTAGTTGGTTTATTTTAGTAGGATCCTTTCCCACTGATGATATGTGGAGTACACCAGTGAGCTGGAAAATGAGACAAAGTTTAAATTTTCTGTCTTTACAAAATAATGAAAGAGCTGTTTGTTGGCTGTGTGGAATTTGATAAAGCTTCATGGTAGCAGATACAGGAATGCTGCTGTTTATGTGGTAGAGGTTGCAATCGCAGCTCATAATTCATAATGTAAAATGTTGATTTTGTTTAAAAAAATACTCCATCTCCCTGCGTTCTTGTGGAATCCCCACAACCAGGGCATGAACTGTGTAGTTAAAACATAGCTCGCTTTCGCAACTGGGTACCTCTTGTACAAACCTCCTTTTTTCAGATAATGCCTCTCTGCTGTTTCAGTGTTTGGTCTGTGATTCTATGCTTGCCAGAAGAGGAAAAGGTGCCCTTCTTTTAAGTGCTCCTGAATTGGGGGTAGACAGTTGCATTTATGCCTTGTACTGATTGGAGAAAAAATAATTTCCAGAGCCAACCTATACTGAGGAACAGATTGATGTCTGGTTTAGCACTCTGGGAACATTGTGCACCTTTTCTGAACAAAGTGGAAATTTGCTTGCTCAATGTTCTCTATGTGTACAAGCTGTGGTGTAGATCTTACTGTACACTAGCTTGTTGAATTTGGGGGTGCTTTAGTGCTCTCTCAGAATAGTTTATAATATGCATTTTCATAAGACATGTGGGATGCCCAAGAAAACAATTTTTTTCAAAGCAAAACAGAAATTACCGTTGAGCAATATCTTCTGTGTATTCTCTATTTTTCTTTGTGCAACACAATTTTTTAATACAGCATACAGCATTTAACCTCCTCAGACATTCAAATTAATTAATTCTTCTTACCTCTCTGTGGGCTAGATGGTTTGCTTTTCTGTGATGTTTAAGAGAGGGCCTGGATGTGGGGGGGATTTTTCTGTCCTTTTTTTTTTTTTTGTCTTTGTAATATCAAGACTGTCTACTCTGGTCTTCCTTGATTTTTTTGAAGAGGATTTGTTGGAAGCTGTAAAGGAACATAGAGTGTTAATTCTTCAATTTAAGGAAGAATAGGGTTAACAAACATTTCCTTTTTTTCAACGTGCTAATTACTCATTGTAGATAATAAATCCCAGATAAAGCCGCAGTTTTAGATAGTCTGACCAAAATATTCCTTCTCTCTCAATTGCTCATCTCTTACTTCCCTGGCTCTTAGAATGTGGCCATTTCAGTAGCACATCTAGGCTATGTCTAGACTACATTCCTCTTTCGAAAGAGGAATGTAAATTAGGCAAATCAAAAGTGCAAATGAAGCACGGATTTAAATATCCTCCACTTTATTTGCATATTTGCGTCCAAGTGCTTTTTTGAAAAAGGGGTAGCCGTGTTACTGGTTATCATGTAACCTCTGGAAATTTCCACTACATGCATCTGACGAAGTGAGTCTTTGCCCACGAAAGCTTATGCACCTACACTTCAGTTAGTCTATAAGGTGCCACAGGACTCCTCGTCGCTTTTGAAAAAGGGATTTTCAAAAGTGAAAGTGCAGTCTTGATGCGATTCTTTTGACCCCCCCCCCTTTTTTTATAAAACCTGTACTCCTGAAAAAATGAGTTCAGATTCTTTCGAAAAAGGGTTTTTTTTTCTAAAGAACTGCATCTAAACTGTGCTTTCACTTTCGAAAAACCCTTTTTCAAAAAAGTGCTCAGATGCAAATATGCAAATGAAGTGTGGGGTATTTAAATCCATGCTTCATTTGCACTTTCGATTTGCCTAATTTACATTCCTCTTTCAAAAGAGGAATGTAGTTTACACGCTGTCATGGCTCCTTCCCTCATGGCTCCTTCCCCACTCTGGCATGATAAATGCAGAAGTGGGGGCCAGCAAGTGTACCCCAAAGCCTTATCTACCAGGCTTTGGTATCAAACTCCCCCCAAAATCTTAAAAACCTAGATCTTGGGAATAAAACTTCCACTGCCACCACTCAAATGTTGATAAAGAAATCAGGGGAAAGATCATTTGGGAAATCTTACCCCTAAAATAAAAATCAAGGCACACAATTAACCACTGCCAGGTTAATAAAAAGAAAAGAAAGAACTTTTATTATTACAACAATATTCTTCTTGCAAACATAATGACTAGATAGGGAGGTAACAAAATATACTCATGGAGAAACTCCATTGGCCTAGAACTTAGTTACAAAGAAAAGCCAAAACATCTTTTACACAGTGCCAGATCTCAGATCCCATACCCAATCCTTAAAACAATAAAACCTAACGAAACTGCCTAAACTTTACCCTACTTACAGAAAATGAAGAATGGTGTCTTGGAGAGAGAGAGACATGCTTGTCCCTCTCTGTAGCTGCAGAGAACTCTCCCCCAGAGACAAAAGGGAGAAAAGAAAAACCCAAATTCCTTTGTCCCAGGTTGAAAGTCCCACCTACATTCCTACTGGTCACTCCACCTGGCTAGGTGTAGTTAACCCCTTAATCCCCAGGCTGCTGGCTAACCCTCATAATCATGACACACGCGCCTCAAGGGTACATTTAGACAAGCCTCTTTCGAAAGAGATCATCTAGACAGCAACAGCACTTTCAAAAAAGTGATCTGCTTTTTCAAAAGAGAGCACCCAGGCAATCTGGGCACTCTCTTTTGAAAAAGCGCTGTTTGTGTTCAAGAACGCCTTTTTTTGAAAAAAGCTCTTTTAAAAAAAAAAAAAAAAGCATTCTTCATTCTAGTTTGTTTCTGGATGTTCTAAAAATTTAAATAGTCCCCTATATCCATGCATATGTTCCTCAAAATAACCTGATTTTCCAATGTTTTTGGGCACCCATCAGCCCCAAGATTGGCAATTGCTAGTTGCCCTGCGTTTTTTGAAGTCTGTTCACTAATTTTACAGAACAAGGATTTAGGAGGCGAATTTTAGTCCATTTTTTTAAATCTCAAACCTGTAATCTCGACGTAGCCCTAGATCAGTTGTCACCAACCTGTAGATCAGGATCTACGGGTAGATCTTGGAGCCTCTGATAGGTGATCTTGACTGGTTTGGCCAAGAGCAGGACTTCAGCTGTCACTCCCCCCACTGCTGCACAGCTCCTGCCCTTTGCCTTGGACCTGTTCCCCTCTCCCACCCTGTCATCTATCTCCACAGAACCAGGGTGGGAAGCACAACAGGGTTTAGGATGGAGAGAGTTTGCTGGCTGCTTTTGGGAGTGGTGCAGGGCTAGGGCAGGGGTGAGCCTGACTTAGCCCCACTTCACCACCACACAGGAGCCACCTGTGGTAAACAGTGTCCCCCTGGAGGCTGCATCCTGAATCCCTGTCCCAATCATGTACCCTCTCCTCCACCCGAAGCCTCTGCTCTAGCCCTGAGCCCTCCTAGACCCAAACTCCCTTACAGAACTTGACCCTGAACCTCCTCCTGCACCCCAACTCCTGCCCCAGGCTCAGCTCAGAGACCCTTCTGACACTCCAAATTCCTTAGCCAAAGACCAGATCCTATGTGCCAGCCCTCTGCCCCTGCCTGATGAAAGGGAGGAAGGATAGGGGAGGAAGGAAGGATAGAGTGAGCAGGGGCAGGGCCTTGGAGAAGAGACACAAAGGAGGTAGGGCAAAGTATTTGGGTTTGAGGTCCTGGATTGCACTTAAATTCAAAAAGTGACCTCATCCTCTGAAAGGTTGAAGACCACTGCCCTAGAGTCAGTCTTCCAATCCAGATAGGATCTGAATTTCTAACATAAAACACAAGAGGAAACTTCCCCAAGCCCCTCCTCCCTTTTCCCTGTAAAATGTGTGTGTGTGTGTTGGGAGGGGGGAAGAAACTTTTAAAAGGAAATGAAAGTGTTTTCTTTCACAGGTTACTTTTAGGAGGTGTTGAATGGTCAGAATGATTCTGTCTTGTGACTCTGTGCATGTATTTTGGTTTGGAGGTGATATGAAAAATGTGACCTATTTTCATAAATCAGAATTTCTGATATTCCCTGGTTTTCATGTTGTGAGAGGGGAAGTGTACCACATTGCTCAGTGTGCTATTAGAAGTGATGAGTATAGTTTAAGACACTGTATGGAATGACTAACTTGATGTGGATAATCCACCATTATACTTGATGTGTTAGTTTGGGAACAGGCATGAATTTAGAGTAATAATTACTGTAAATTCTTTAATACATTTCAACTAAAAATCTCTTACTAGTCTTTTCCATGAATTTTCTAGGACTTTGTGACCTTGCATTTTGCCGGTGCTCTTTGGAAGCAATTACATGTATACAATGAGTTACTTTGTTATCTAAGCACTCACCCTAGGCTAGAAAATAGTTTCTTGCCCTTTGCTTACATTTTTCATTACGTAGATGAGTGCTCTGTATGATCATTTCTTTTCTCAGAAATTGTAGAACAACTGGTCTTCCTTCATTTAGCAGATGGTTGTTCTCATTGATTTCTCTTTTATGTGGTCAATTTGGTCTTATTTTGAATCTCTCTCTTCTATTTCTTTGGGTCTTCCTTGAAAAACTTGTTAATTTCAGTTTATATATAACCAGCGCTCTCTGTATTTTGGTTTGGAATACTGCAAATTTGGAATTAATATGAATTCTGCACCCATTGATGAATTTCATATTCATCAGCATCCTTTTCCAGTAAGATTGATCTGTTTACTGTATTGCTAAGAGTAACATATACAGTTCCTTACCCAATTTACATTTTCCACTGAGACAGTATCTTTGCCGATTTAGCAGCTCGTGATGGATTCTATGTGGTGATAAAAGCAAGTGTGTTTAAGTAAAATTTCAAGTAATATTGGCTTGGCTTCTGTATATATATTTTTTCTCTCCCAAACAAATGTTGGGCATAAGTCAGTTATACGCAAGTGCCAACATCTCCTTCTTGATCTTTTTGTTTTGTTTAGGGATCTTGATGAAAATGCAGCTGGCTGCTCTTGCATATGGATTGCACCTAATCCTTTTGAAGATGCAGCTTCTGACACAATAACTGGCATAGTTAACTGGAAGTATTTTGAAGCTGGTGAATTGGTGATCAGTGTTTTTAAACTGCTGAAATACCTATTTATGTCTTTTCCCAGTGCCAGGCAGCATCATTTTCTAGCAATAGGAAATAGATGTATAATGAATTTTGTCAGATTGTTTCTCATGCCATTAATCCCCACAGGTTGATTTGAGCTTTAAACTGTTTCATTTATTTTATCCTGATCAACAGTTAAGACATGTTTGCTCAATATATGTCCAATACAATTAACTTCTTTTAGACCAATCTTTGATCATTTAATATCAATATTAAGCAAAAATGACACCTTTTTATTGTTTGTATAAGGTCCAATCCCATGGCAAAATCATAGCCATTATAATGTCACAAACTTGAAATTTCTGCTCACTCTGTAAAATCACTTTTTGAAGTATCCTCTGAAGAGAACCAATGCTAAATTACATATACTCTAATGTATGCCATCCAAATGGTGTAGTAACAATCTTACAGTTTGTCACATTTAGCTTTACTTGACAAAAGACATGCTCTGCACTGAAAATGGAGAATATCTTTACTTCTGAGCGTAGTTCAGGGGTGGACAAAAGCATTTCTCTCCAGCCCGCCCAGCTGATTAGCAGAGAGTACACACTTCCAGCCAGCAACCTGTGTTTAGTTGCCCTTCCTCCCACCTTACTGAGTCCTGCAGCTATTCTGGTTGTGGGATTCTTCTGCTAGTGGTGCAGAGCAGGGGTGCAGGGAAGAGGGGAGTGCTGACGTCAAGGTGCCCCTCCCCCTGTACCACATCTCTGCAGAGCAGGAGTCTGGGAGAGGGAGAGATGCAGAAGAGCTGCTCCAGCCTGAAGCGTGGATGATACATGGCTCAGAGAAGTGCCTGTTTTAAGAGGCAGTGCACCTTTCTAAGATTTCAGTGCCTGCGCGCACACTCTCACACACTTCCCCCATAGCTCATCTCTTCAGAGCAGGAGAGCGGAGAGACAACAGTGCAGGACAGCTTTCCCTGTCTTAAAGGGACAGCATGTGGCTTCTCTCAGGATCCCCCACCCCTCTGAGTCACTGTCACAGATACCCAGTCTGTGCCACACTGTGTCAGTGGCACATAGTCACACACGGTCACACACGCACACTCTCCCAGTCTCTGTACCACCATAGGCGTGCGCAGCACGTTTCATTAGGGTGCGCACCCAAAGAAGGTTTTTAAATGTACTCTTTGACCCCCGTTAGCCATGCCCCGACCCCTGTTAGCCACGCCCATGACCCCCATTAGCTATACCCACTGACTCCCATTGGCCACACCTCTAGAGGTAACACTCTCAGGGCAAGATGGACACATGACCAGAAGTAAAAGGTGTCATGTGACCCCGTTCTAAGGACTTTTCCCACTATCCTCCTATCAATAGGAATTAGTTTGGCCCCCACCAAACCCCCCTATCCTGCAGTTGCATTAACTCAATGTGTGCGACATTAACTCAGGGGCAGAGAGGCTGGGGGAAGTGTTCCCTCTAAAACTTTCCTGCCAATGAGCAGAATGAATTTTGTGTTGTACACCAGTACTGAGTTCATGTGGCTTGTTTGGATGTGCTATTGTTATTAATAAATATCTTATAAACCGCTACCTTTTCCTTCTGCTGCCAAATCTCCCCTTGCTCCATCAGCTCTGCTGGTGCCTGCTGCCCCCCCAACCCCTCACCCTCCTCTGCTGTCCTGACTCCTGCCCGTCTCAGCCTTCCTGAGACCTGCCCCCCTCCACCATCCCTTCTCTCCCCCCTGTGCCCACTCCTCCAGTAGCCCCACTCTGATCAAGTGAGCTACCCCTCCTCATCCCTTCGTCTAACACCTCCCTCCTCCTGCCCTGACTCTCTCCACTGGTGCTGGTCCCTCCCCTGCAGGTGTCTGCCCTTCTGCTTCACCCCCAGAATCCCCTGGCACCTGCACCTTCCCTTAGATCTGCACCCTCCTGGTGCTCCCCCTTCCCTCACTGCTTCTTTCCCCTTTGCCCTCTTTTTCCCTGATGCCCACCCCCTCACCACCCTCTGCCCTGTTTCCCTCATGCCCCTGTGCCCTCACATGCCTTGCTCCATCCCATCCTTCCTCATGCCCACTCCTTCTTTCAAGCCTTCTCCCAATACCTCTTCTTCCTCCTCAAACTCCCAATGCCCTTCCCCTCTCCTCTCCCAGCATCACCCTGTCCCCCCTCCCACTGACCCCTCCCCTCCCGCCCTTTTCCTCATTGTCTCTACTTGGCCCCCTGACATTTCTCTCTCCTCCACCCTGTTCCTTGGTGTTTTCCCCTTTCTTCTCCTGACCTGCCCCTCTCCCCTCAGCACAGGCCTCTTCCTCTCGCACCCCTG